TGACCTGGACGCGCGCAGTTCACGGTGCCGAACTCGGAGCAGAGCTGCCACGCCACGAGCACCCCACGCCAAGGGTGCAGAACGACGAACTGCCCGGTGCAGAACAATTCGCAGAACTCCTGAGGCAATTCACCTTTGACAAGGTTCTGGAAGATGTCAAGAAGCTTGAGGCGTCATGTTTGAACTGCATCAGTCATCAAGTCTTTCTTTGTTCATGTTCATGACTCTAAGCTTCATCAAGTCACCACAAGAACACGTTCCTACAGGTACAACGGCGTACCGGAAACAAACCTTGAAGGGCAGCCCGTGATTCGAGGTCGATCTCGGCACCGCGAAGTCGACCGGATCCGTGCGAAACGACCCCTTTTTCCATGGCGGAACGACCCGTGCGGAGGCATTTCAAGGGACCACAGAGACCTCCTTGACTTCAATCAAGGAAGAAGTGGCAGGACGGCGAGATGCGAAAAAAACATGACGGCCACGGAGAATCCTCGGCGTCGAACGGCACTTCGCCACGGGTGGACTTTTGGGCCGTGTCACATATCGTGTGCGAAACTGATCCGTTGGGTCGCAGGGGCGGAGCATAGATGAGCATAGATCTACCAGGCCTCCCATTGTGGTGTTCTTTGATTAAGAGCCCCTCAGAGGTGAAGGCGGTCTCCGTCAAACACCCCAGAGTTGGGTCGCATATGAGTTGGCACTCACAGAAGCTTTGCATCCTTGATCCGGATTGATGCTTCTGACCTCATTTGACCACTCCACTAAAAACTGGCAGGATGCAGCCCATGTGGCACACCACGGTGGAGCAAATCACCATGTGACCCATTGGTTGGCTCCCGTGCATTCCTGGTCGCTCTAGGAGTTGTGGGCGAATTCACCGCCCGCTACACTGATGTGGTTGAACGAATGCAGGTGCGATCGAGCCCATCGGAGTGATGCCCATGGAACGTGATGTAATTGACTCTAGTAGGATTTTTAGGCGGTCTAGGTTGAGATTCTCTATACCCACATGCTGTTTAGTGTTAATGTGTGATGTGTTTCTACAAGTGCCTAGTGAAAGCACGTGTATATTGTATGCTTATAACAACAATATATATATATATATTTCTATATACATAAATGAGTTTTATCAAGTTCCATTATGTTCCATGCATTCTTGATTTGAGGAGAAACTAACTCTCATGCAAGCAAGTATGATGTACATAATCAATAGGGCGACATTAGATGACATTAGTACACATTTAATTATTTGTAACACTTGCTTGCGTTACAGAAAAGAGCGTGGTCCCCAGTTTTAACAAGCTGTCCGCGTATATATATATATATATATATCTGTTAGACTTACTTATACAGTAAGTTATATACTGTACATGTATTTTATATCATGTAAATCCCACAGGACGTCGGCATTACTGACGCTTTGATGGTTAGTTCACACCCAATTTGTAAAGTCCTTCGGAACTTGTTGTTTTGCCACGAAAGTAGCTAGATGAATTGAATCTGTTCAACAACCTTGCCAGTTGTTCAGAAAACTGATTGTTGCCTTCTTAATTTGTTCATTAATTACCTATGAATTACCTATGTTTTTAAATCTATTTATTTATCTAAACATCGGGGACGTTGTGTGGGCCAAGCTTCGGCGAAAGAACCTCAACACATCAGCCATGATGGGCCCCACCGAACAATGCCAAGGCGGCTGAGGCGACTGAGGCTGCAGGCTAGGAGTGCCAGAGATGCGCCGTGACCGACTTGCAGTCATGCCTTGGTTGCGGAAGTTTGGGGATGAACTGCCTGGGCTTTTGTTGGATTCTGAAGCTTGCAGTTTTGATTCACTGAAAGCAGAGGTGATGCAGAGAGATTCTATAGGGTCCTTCCTTTTCCTACCTACATCAGGATGTTGATCAAAGGCTTCAAATGAGATGTTTTGGCCTTTGATGCTGGGCAATCTCTGTGGTACAATCCGGTGGTCTTTCCTGTTGAGAGTTCAATTACTCCTTGACTCCTTGGATTCAGGGGGCTGGACTCGAGTCATTGGGAGTTTGTGCACCAATTAAGTCATCAATTTGTGCGAGCGAGTATTTTCTCATGTTCTCACGATATTCTCCAGCTCTTTTGGAGTTAAAGCTGTGTTTCTCCAATCCCGCGGAACGTGGCTGTCGTCGATGTGCGGGTTGCGTGATTTCATCACGTTTTTTGTGCTTTGTCGCGGTTGCTCCGCACTCATCGGCGCCCAAAATTGGCCGAAGGCTTCAGGTCTTCCTACACCTATATGAGGATTGAACAAAAGTCTAGTGTAATGGTTTACGGTCGGCGGTTGGTTCAGAATGGAAATGGGTTCTGCAGGAGCACTTTTCTCCTGACCATCTCCAACAGGACGGAGATTTGGTCAATCACCTATGTGGCTGTGGGTCAAAGCCTGAAACCCCAATCCCCTGTAGCTTGACATAGCTTGACCTCCCTGGCAGTCTGTTCTGTTCATTCTCCCGTGGTCAACCCGGGTCCCCCGGTCTTGACCCACAACCAAATGATGATGATTTTACAGGTCTCGGTGACCCATCCGATGGGATTCTCCGCAGTACGCTCGGAGCGTGGAGGACGCATGGATGGATCGATTGGGTCAAAGTGCCGCACAAAGTCTATGTAGAAAGCAGGACGCTCAGATCCCACTTCAAAGTCCCAGGATAGACGTCCTCACACCCAAATGCAGGAAAATAATTGCAATATATTGCATACGTCTTCTTGGCGGAGGTGCCGAGAGGTAAACAGAGGAAAACACCGTAGCGCAAAAGCATGGACACATATGGACGCAATATATTTATATATATATACACAGAGAGAGAGATAGAGAGAGAGAGAGAGAAAGAAAGAAAGAGTATAATCAATCTACTTGATTCTGAATTCTGTCTAACATTTTCTAACCCTCCACGTGTGCCCTAAGCTTCCATCGACCCACCACGCCATGGCGCTGCAAGACTTGTTGGCCGGGCTGCCAGAAGTCGGTGGACATGAGGAGGCCCACACAGCGGGGAGCGAAGCGTGTTGGAAAGTGTTGGTGGGTGGTGGCGATTTGTTGGAGCTCTTGAAGATTCGTCGTGATTTATGAGAATCGATGTCGGTCAAGAGCTGCAAGCCTCAAAGAGTAAAATAAACGGATCAGGTGGTCCGTTTTCATCTCAAAGGCCCCAAAGATGGTGGTCCCCTGGTCCATTTTGTAAGCCGCATAGGTGCTGGAGCGCCATGTCACCTCCTTCGGCTTTCATCCCTTTGGACGTTGACTGACGCAGGACCCGCTGGTGACGGGCTTGGCGAAGCAGGCGGAGCTGCAGCGGATGCGTTCCGAGGCCTCCCAAGCGCGCTGGGCGGAGTGCCAAGACCATAAGCTTTGGTTGGCGGAGAAGAATTGGCGAAAGCAAGTGAGATTCTAGGACCAGAGAGGAAGATTGTTAGCTTGTTTTATATTCAACTGCTTTTAGTATTGTTGAGGAAGTCATCCTTGTGTCCAAAGAACACAGGCTCACGTTGTTGATCGTTGTTGATCGTCCTTCTTGCACAAAGAATGCATCAGAAGGGCTGCCTCCACGCAAATGAGGAAAGACGAAGGAAGATGAGCGCCGGCGAAAGGCAGAGGAAGCTGCACGTGCAGAAGCAGAGCGAAGGGCGGCCTCTCGGTGCAAAATCACATCACCCAAGGGAACCCGATGAAGATGCAGTTGGTTGTTGACCTGCTTTCCGTCCCCCAAGCACCTGATTTTTGTTTATTGTCAAACATACTGGCTATGGACCACGTTGGTTCTCCCAACTTTTGTGAGACTTTGGGAAGCGAGTTGCCATGGCCAAACCATGTTATTATATGGCCACACGAGTCAAGCAAGTGTTACAGTATATGAAGAGTCCTTCTGACTATTGGCTCTGACCTTCTCCCCCGCTGATATGGACCCTGGTGACCGCCCTTTGGAATATAACATTCTCACGAATTGCAACTGTTGAAGTGGAACAAGTGCAAATATGTTTGAATGTCTTCTCTACAAAATGAAGAGCAAAAAGAAAGCACGCTTCCTGGAACTAACATGGAATCGGAAAGCACGGCTAAACTAAAAAAGAACAACCAACTTGATGAAGATGATGTTTTCTCGCTAGAACATTGACCACCAAACCTCACTGGCAGAGGTCCTGTAGATTAGCTTCTCAGCGAGACTGTCAGACGCATTGATCCCAGCTTTCCATCCACCCTCACGTGAGCGTTCTTCTTAGTGCCGCTCCGATCAATACAGCCAAGGAAGAAGAGAGGAAGAGACACTTGACTGCAGTATGCATAACCCCCAGTGCAGATCAGTGTAGATGGAACCATTATTCCAAGAATATCCAATGCATTCTTGTGTTACAAGCAGAAATATTGAATTACTTGTTTTTCTAGGTTCACTACAAGAGCTTGTTGTTGCTGGTTGCGTGGTCACGAGACCTGAGATGTGTTTTCTTGATTGAAAAAATGACCAATGCCCATGAAGTGTTGCTCCAGAAGTGGGTTGTGAAAAAGATCTCAAGACCCATTTCACCAGCATGCATGGAATGATTATCCATCAATGGAGCATCGGGAAACGGCTTCGTTTGGATTGGTTAGGGAACAGCTTGACCAGCTCAGGAAGAGCAAAAATCCCGGAACTGTCACCGGCTGAGAAAGCAGAAGCGCCTGGTCGAAAAGACAGCGAATCGAAATGCCATTGGCGCCTGTGTTTTCGTTGACTTTCTTCTACTAGGTGAGGCCATGCTAGTTCGGGAGCACACCGCGGATGCCGGTCATAGATGAGTTCTGTCATGCACTTGCCTTTACCACCCCTATATCACAATCATGATCAGTCCATTACGATGATCATCCATTGCTGGTGGTTAGTATACGTTATATAGTTATATATATATAGCATTTGTACAAGACAGCCAGCACCACCAGCCGTGCCCGCAGCACCTCCCAGGCGGAAGCCAAGGCCGCCCGAGCAAAACTTCTTATGGAGGCCAAGAACCGATGGCCTCTGGGATGCCAAAGAGGTCCAGTTTGACCTTGAGACGGGGCAAGCACTAAACCATACCAAACCTATGTACTGTACTTCATCCTATAACCAAAGGAAAGATCCAAAGCACAATAGAAACACAAGTCATCATAGAATAGATCCCACGGAACCATTTCTCATGAGTTTTCCCCATGTTCTGAAAGTTGTTTGCTTTTTGGTGAGACTCCGGTGAGCCAATGGATGCATCCAGTGTGAGTACTGTAGCATTTATAGCCATATATATATATATAGTGGAATCAAAGTAAGATAAGTAAGGGATTTCAAAGATCATTTGGATTACATTTGCTATACTTAAAATCTGTTGGATTCATGCAGCTCAAGGGATTCTAGCAAAGTTCGCTGCTTACCAATCATGCTTGGAGTCCACCTTATAGTTCGCATGGCTTTTGGCAGTGTTGAGTCTTCATTCCCGGTGGGTTGACTGTAATTTGGGTGGGTTGACTGCATGCTGTATGTTTGAAACACTTCGCACACTGATACCAAGTGGCCATTTAGATACTGGTATATATACTATGGTATACTGATACTTAACTTTGGCTTCGCACACCTTCTTCTATTCCCACAGAACCGCCCAAGACATCCCAAGACCACCGGACAAGATCGATCGAGGCTAAGCGAGGAGTGGCAGCCCATGTTCCAACAGCGAAAGCAAGAAGTTCAAGCACAAAGGCTGGAAGACGTCGAACGGGGCCGCCGATCGAAGCTTCGCGAGCGGCGAAGACGCTTCGAAGCTTCGTGGCAGGCGTTTGGATCTGATTGAGACGTCCAAGTAGTAAGCAGGAGAGAAGTCCATGACACCCATGAGGAGAAAAGAATCCAACTAGACTATTACATGTTGTTCCGTCAGGATTCCTTTGTAATTGATTCTGAGTATGAACTGTACTAGGGATGGGAAACTACGCCAGTGGTTGGAAACAGCTCAATGTGCACAAATGCAGACCGTGGAAGCTTGCAAATTGTCATGCCATCCCCTATATATCATGGTGGCATATTTTATACGAAGAGGTTGACAATGTCAAAAGAGTAGGAGAGGATTATGGCTTCTCAGCAGTGAGGGTGGTTTGGACAAATCGGTAAGAGAGTGGAATTGCCTCCAATGCATATGGCAGGCTTGACGCTGAAGAAAGAGTCAGGCGCGAGAAGGCAGCCGAAGAAGATCGGAAGAACTATGAATGTGGAGGGATGGATGCTGAGCTGATTTGGCGAAGGTGGTCGGTGGCCGCCCTCCAATCCAAGGAAAGAATAGGAAAGACGTACAAACAGATTCTGCAAGGTTAAGAGGGAGCTTACCCCAAGGCAGGGTCTTCCATCGGAAACAAAGAGTGCTGATTGAATCCACCACAGGAGAATTCGACCTTACCTTCACTGTTAGCACTCCAGTTGAACTTTGCTGCTGCAACTGAGGAAGCAGAAGATGCAGCCACCATTTGCCCAGCGATGTTTTTGTTTTCATTTGGCTCCGTCGGGCTTACTCGGTGCGGGGGGCAGACTGTGTCTTGGGGTTTGGTCCTGGAAACCTCAGATTTCACTCCTCGACTGGCTTGCTTTTTTTTGCGGTTTGTGGAGTGTTTTTGGCGTGATGTGTTGGGACAAGAATTGTCCCCCTTGCCTTGTTGGTATCTTATTCCATTGCAAATCCTTGGAAGTGCCCACCAAAAAAAGCGCAGAGTGCATACCGCTTCTCGCCCTCCCAGGCCCATGAATGATCTCCCCTTGGTTTCATCCCAGCTCAACCCCTGTAAAACAAGTTGGAGAGTTACCAGCAGAGCAGCCGAGGTTGAAGAACCCTATAGACTATCCTATAGGTACCCCTGGAAGGTCCTAGTTCAGGTTACTTAACCTCTGTTGTGACGTATGGAACCCGCGTCTCTGAGGTGAGGGTTCGCCAGAGGGAGGCGTTCCTGTCGGCGGAGTGCGAGCGCTTAGCGAAGAGGGCCCAGACGCCCCGAGTGCAAGAGGCCATCGAGAAGAAGATTGAATTGGTTTTGGAGCCTTGGACTGGGTTATGACGGGTGAGCCACTGTCTTAGCTGCTGGAGAGCCTCATTGCGCAGGGTAGACCAAAGAGTAGGCCCTGGTAGACCTTAGAACCCTCTAGGCACTCCGGGCAGACTGTTTTATCGTCACGGTATGTCACGGTTTCGTTCCACAGGAGATGCGGGGCCTTGAGATCCGCTGGAAGCAAAACCTGGAGAAGCGCCGTTTGGAAGAACAACAGGCCTTGCTAGCACTGCAGGAAGAGCGTAAGGAGCTGAGGGGCGGGAAGGAAGGAGGGATGGAGGCATATGGATCCCAATGGAATCCAATGGCCAGTCTTCATCTACAAAAAAGAGATTCTTTATCGTGTCCATTCTTTGTTGAAAAAACTTTACCATCTTTACAGTTCATCGGATGTCAGAAGAGCATAGAAGAGCGAGGGTGACAAAGCAAGGAGGTACCGCTTTTGTTTCCCAAGCCCTCCTGTACGACCTGCCATTACAGAGGGTATAATCATTCCGGCAACTATTTTGGAGTGCATGTGAGCATGTGTATGTAGTAATGTAACCAACCAGCGGATTGGGGACTACATCAGCAACAATTCCAGGAGTAGTCGTAGTCGTAGTCGTATGTAGCCCTAGTAGAGATAATAGTAGGAGGAGGAGGAAGTCCTTCAAGGCCAGACCAATGTGCGCGCTTTCACAGGAGCGGGACTACCGTGAGTGGCGCTCAGAGGTGCAGGAGGAGCGCTTGCGACGAAGACGGCTGATTGCACGGGAGGAAGCACAGGAGAAAGAGTGACCAGGCGAAGAAGTCGGTGTCGGTGAACATCCCTCAGCACCGCCTGTCCCTTCCTGCGCAGGCTGCTCCTGTTGCAAGACATCATAAAGGCACCAAACCACCGAAACAGTGAGGCACCACAGTGAGGCACAGTCGATTTGGGTGCTTCAACTCAGTCGAGCTGGGTAGCCGGGGCTTGGAGGCGAACCGAAGGCAAAGATGGGTCCACTGTCTTCGGACCTCTTTGGCCTAACTTTGCGAATCCATGCGAAACCTCATCGTCCACTGCGAAAGTGGTTGAGGGTGAGATGCATGCAAAGTTGCTGGGTGACTTCCAGACATGAGGCATCCAATTAGCTGTGGCAGGACGGTGTGTTTGCCTTTGGTTCTTTTCTGTGGCAGTAACTGCCAATTGTGCAGCCATTTTTGGCAGCTTTGTGCTGAGGCTCCTGGAATGGAAGACGCTGGAACTTTTGGGACGTGACCTGCCTGAAGTCCTGTACCGTGATCGATCGTAACCACAGCAGATCCCCTAGCGAGAAGTTTGACGAAGACAACTCTAACTCTTCCACTGCTATGTCACTAGTGTTGCTCGTTCGACACGGTGCAAATGGCATGTGTTCGTGGGATTCAGCCGTCCGAGCCTTCACTAAGTCCAGTGGAGTCCTTGCAGTGATGCCTGAGGAAGAGCACAGGTCACAAGCCAGGCACCACAAGCATAGAGATGTTGCCTCATGAAAAAACATACAAAACAAACAAGGGCAGGTGTTGGACATTTTGAACAAATAGCAGAAGAAACACCATTCATGTCCAGGTGCAAGTTGGGGCTTCCACCCTTACCTTGCGTGTCCAGCTTCTTTGGAGAGCTTCTCACATAATCAGATTTGTGGTCACCTCATGCGCACAGGGTGGTCACCGGTTCTCAGCGTTGTCCCCCAGGGGTCCAGGAGTCGATGGCCATGGTGGTGATTGGGGGATTCCTTGCAGGTGAAAGCGTAGTTCATGGTCGTCCTGTTCGAACTGGCCGCAGCTCAGTTCGCTTTAGGCTGTACCAACCAAGAGTCGATTAGCCCAATGAGTTTGGAATGGCTTAGAAGAGGGTGACATTCTGAAATCACTTCGTTTGGTGTTGATCGACCTCCAGGTGATGTGCTGAGGGAGGAGGAGTTGAAGAAAAAGGCTGCTGTGGAGGCTGCATTCCAAAAGTCCAGTGTGCAACGCCGCTGGGCGGAGAGTCGTGATGGAGATCCGCGGAAAAGCCTTGATCACATATGTTTTGAGTACATTGTATGAGGGATAATTATGGCAGCCTGACTCAAGAATGTCCATTTCAAGTGCAATAGACAAGTCTATTTGGGGTTGTTTGGGCAGAGCATCGCTGCTCGAGAAGACATGAACAAAGCTAAGCAAGCCCAGGAGATTGAGTGAAAACCAAGCGCATAGACCTCATGAATCCAGAGATGTGGGGCTTCCCGATCTTTGGGTGTCAAGAGCTTGAGGCATTTTCAGGATTGCACTTGGGAAGGTAAGATCAAGATAGATCAAGGCCATCAGATGGGTCATACTTTTGGTTTCTTGGTCCTGGTGAACAGGTTCGCGTTGATGCATTCTAGGGCGGCTTGAGGCATCAAAGCGGATGCTTTCTTGCATCCCGAACCTCTCCACCTTGGTTGATCATTCATTCACCCCCATTTTAACTCTTGACACGAGTCGGAATGAACTCCACATCTTTCCCACCACACCGACGCAAGCACCGACGGAAGTGTGCATCATTAGCACATGCCCGTGCGGGAGTGTCCCAAGTCCTCCGTTTCGATTGACCGAGGACGGCAGCTGGAGGAGCAAGGCATTTTGCCCTCACGGGTCTTGCAAGAAGCGAAGGTCCTGGCTGAAGAGCAGCGGAAGACCATGGATGCATGGCGGGAATACTGTGGGAATGAGCTGATTTTCTGGGTAAGCGAGCTAGTGTGGCGGTGCTCCTCAGGGTTCAACATTGGGTTATGTTGTACTGTATATTTATCTATCTATCTATCTATATATATATATTGATATTGCAGGCCCATCAGTCAAATTATAACTACATATAATTACCGATCACATTTTGGCCCTGTCTTTTTGTCAACCTCAACTGGCGACGGCTGCCGGACAAACGCATCCAGCTGCCGCTACCAAGGAGCAGGTGGGCCCAAAGCAAGCGGAGCGACTTGTCCCGATCAGCACAGTGTTTGCCTTGCATTGAAGTTTCTCCTTAATGTAGGAGTTGGTTTGTCGTCATGATCAAGTGGATCGCGTAGAGTTCGAAAAACGTCATACGAAAGTCCATCGATCCATCGATTCTTTGGAGTATTCCATGATCCATTTTACTGTATTTGAGAATGACTGCAGGCTCCACCCTCAGTTGCTTTTGCATCATGGAGGACACAGGGTCTTATACAATTCTTGGGTGTGCCATTTTGGCAGTTCCGGGTGGGCCTCAAAGTCAGTTGGGCAGCCAACATCAGCCAGCCAATCAGATTTCCCTGTGTTGAACGACAGGTTGCTTCACAAATGCACAGGGAACACGTATAGGTATAGATCCATAGTCATGGATCCATGTTTGCTTAGACAGGAAGCTTGCACGTAGACAGGATTACTTGGTCATGACCTTTCTTGAATGACCAAAAGATGACTTGGCATGACCAAAAATGATCAACAAAGGTCATGACCCAAAACTTCTCCAAGGACAAGGATTTGGTCATGACTCGCATGACCAAAGATGGTCAGGTCCCTCCAAGGGCAATGCTTTGTGCCGCAAGCATTTGTCTCTAGCAGGTCCAGCCAGTGGGTGTCCAATGGACTACTCTGCTAGACTGGATCGACAGGACACCCAGACAGGGTCCAGGGAGGTCATGTTGGTTTTGATTTCTCTCCCTGTGGGGCACCCACTTCTTCTAGTTAGAGCACTTACCAGTTCACAGGGTCGGTCGGACTTCTTTAGGCGAAAGCTTCTTCGCCCAAAAAAAGATGACACCACATCAGTTCACCCAGACTGTTCCAGGCTAAAAAGTGCAGACAAGAGAAAGAGAAAGAGAGAGAGAGAGAGTGTGTTTCTCAAGGGTTTGTCCATGCAACGGCCTTGTTGGGGTCACCAAATTCTCAGAAACATATCAACTGCTTGGTAGAGAATCAATCTGAAGTGTTTCTAGTCATGACCGAGCTGTTTGGGATTCTCCGAGGCAAGAACTTTGGGATGCCCTGATGGCCAAGAACCGCTGGGCTCGCACGCAACAGATGGGCTCCACACACCCCACGAGTCGCGAAGTGTCCCGCTGGGGCTTCTTTGCAGAGAAGGCTGACAGGAGCCCAGCAGTCAGACGCTGAGATACAGCGGGCACGGGTCGGAGAGCCTGGGGGTCATGTCAAAGCATGAAGCAATGTGCCCTCCCAAATCTTGCTATTTGATGCTATTTGGATAGTTTGTCTCTTGCTATCCCAGTTAAAAATAACAGCATCTCAGCATCACATTTCGATGATATACCAGACCTCCCGAGCTCCTTCGGCCCTGTTTCACCCTTCACTCGGCCAAGCCGAACAGCTGGAGAAAACGACCGCCCAGACGGAAAGTCGAAGTCGGAGGTCTCAGACAACTCGAGCCTCAAAGTGTTACTAGTAGCGGTGCCCTTGTTACTAGTAGCTTTTTGTTCCTATAGTAGTAATGCCAGGAGTTACTAGTAGCTTTTTAAATTGCTACTAGTAGAAATGCCCTTGTTACTAGTATTCATTCGAGCCTGTAACCCGTGACCCTAACAGTGTATTCAAAGTGTTCGCCGGTCATTGACACACGTCTTAGGGCTGGGGGGGCGTCGGGCAAGAGATGGCAAGAGCACAACAGCTTGAAATGTTGAATCGCTCCTTGGAAAACAATGTTGAAGAGCACTGCTTATATAATGATCAATAATGCTGTTTCAATTCTGGTGCTCCAAAGGTTGGGTCTCCAGACCGGCAGGCTCCATACGAATTCCATGGCACTGAGATGGGGGGAAATCCGGTTTCGAAGGGCTTTGCGCGGGGCCCTTTGCCCCGTCAGTTGCGGCCAGGCGTCGGCAAAGAGGCGCTGTCTTTTGGGGGGAAGTGCCGGGGGAGGTTGCCAATGTGATTGGGTGAAAGAAGCCCAGCTTTAACCCTTCCCAGGTTGAAAGGTATGGGAAGGTTGCAGTTGTTTCTGTGTCTACTGGTATGTCTCAGACGTCACGGAGAAGAGTGAGAATCGTCTTGCTGGTCCGAGCAAGCAGTGCAAAGAAGAAAATGAGGTGCACATTACACCCCTCTCAGAACTTTTCGCCCAATCCCAACTACTTGACGTCTTTTGGAAATACGTATGCACCGAGAAAATAAACACCCCTTGGGAATTGAGCTGCCACAGGAGGCCACAATCCCTGCCGCTGTGCAAGAAGAGCTGAATCGCATGGAGATTGGGATGCTTTGCCGTGGGAAGTTGGGGCCAAGATGGAGCCAACTGGTTTGTAGGAAGCTGAAAGCAGAAGCGGAAGCTAACTTTTACTGCATTCATATTGGTTTATTCTCTTTTGCACTGTGGATGATCAACCTAGTTGGACATAGGGCTCATGAGGGGATTCATTCGCCGCTGCTGTTCTTTTCAAACATGAAATGCATTTGACACCCAAAAACCTTTGGACCCCCAGACTGTTTCAAAAGCAAGAAAGGCCAGGAAATTTGGACATATGAAGAGGACATCAACAGGAATCAACAGTGTCGATGAACGAACAGGACAAGGAAATTAACAGAAACAAAAAAGGACAAGGAACAAAGACAAGGAAGGACAACAAGAACAGCAAAAGATGGGATAATTTCAGGGAGAATTTGCAAACAATTTCAACACACACATTTGAGATCATTTATGTATGTAAGGTTGTTTTCAGTCGTGTGTATGGCTGTTGAACATGGGTTGAAATACGGATTTTTTTTATATATACTGTAACTACTTTTGGTCCTAGCTTGCCATTAATTACAACTAAATCCTCACCGTTCTTGTTGTATGAGGGTCGGGTCATTGCTAGATTAGATTTATATATAGTGTCATTTGGCACCGGCGCAACGTATGCAGGCCTCTCGCATCATTTCATCAGTGATGCGTAACATGATTCATCATGATTCATCAAGTCTATGATTGCACCCCAGTGGGTTGCCACCATATTTTGGTGTGTGATTCCCTGAGAAGGTTCAGAATAGGTCCATGCTTCTGGGCCTTGTGGACGTAGCCTATCGCCGACAGTGATCGGACGATGAGACTCCAGGAGACGGAGTTCAAACACCAGCTCAACGAGCTGGAGGAGCTTTTGGAGCCAGGGATGGTGGGAGATCCTGCAGCCGGAACCAAGTTTAGTCCTATGGAGAATGAACATCATTCTTCGGAAGGCGTGGTACCACTTTCTTTGACATGCAATGACGAGTTTGTTTCCTGTACGGTTATATACATGTCACAAAGACGGTGCCATGAGCTACGGCGCTGCGCGTGAGTCATTGGCGACCTTTTTTAAACGCTGTTGTGCTTCATGCTTAAAGGTTATTTTTGGCCTTTTTTTTGAAGGTAACATGAACGTCCGAGATGCTTTTGGGCAAGTTGTGTAAGGGACATTAAAGGAGTATGCAGTATGCTGGCACAAGTCCCTTTTGCTTGTGCCAATCCCAACTGATTCGCTACGAACACTCCTCCAAAAAACGGCTTCGGCATGTTTCATTGGTTTGAAGTGAGCATAAAGAAGAATGCAGCCGAATGGAGTTGATTACAACATAGTTATATAAACACTTTCTATGGTGGCATGTGAGGGAGATGTCCATTTTCAGGAGACCTGCCGGCAACTGCGGCCATCGGAGGCTGGGGAACTGGGTAGCGCCTTTTGTTGGACAGCTTTGGCCGCTCATGATGAAGCATGCGAACTCAATTTCGGTTGGAAAGCTTTAGCACCCTGTATGACAGTCGGGGGGGGGGTCAGCTGGGGACCAATGTCAAGATAGCTTATTGCCTTTTGACATTTGGTTGCAGTATTTGGCAATCACGGTCACCCGGGTGCTGTAGATGAAATTGAACCACCAGATCCACCAAAGGGAACAACAACTGTGTGCTCCTGGTATCTCCTGGTTCTGCTTTGCTAGGGTTGCTTAATTTGGCCGCCAGTTTTGCCTCCACAAGCGCGCTTTAAAGCGTCTAGACAATGATAAAATCATTTCGCTTGGGCAAGTTCTGCTTTAGTTTTAGCATGTTTTAGCGATTAGGGTTCCATGAGTAAAGTTGTATATACGAATGCGCACGCAATGACCCGATCTTGGCAAGCGTGATTGGAAGTAAGGAACGACTCCTGAGCTAGGATACCATGGACAACCCGTATACCCTTCTAGTTTCCTCGCTACTAACCAGGAAGGAAAGTGCTTTTCCTTAAGAAGGGGCCAGAGGTCATCACAGTCAGAGTCATCCTGGAACCTCTTGAGGATCGGCTCGACGCTGTCGAGCAGAAGGTGGTTCCAGTGACCACAACGGTGACAGAGGCAACTGAGGTGGGACACTTAATGCTACTAGTAACAGGTGCATCGCTAGTAGTAACAAGTGCCTTACTAGTAGTAACAATGATTGCTGTTAGAATTAAATTATAGTAGAATGATTGTGGGATGTACGGTCTACATCGCGAGAAACAGAGAGAGAGAGAGAGAGAGCGGACGGGACACATGTATGTGCGTGGATTATAAAGCAATATCATATTTCTCTTGAATACCTGAACAATGAATGCACAGATGAAATATGTTATATACGTGTAAACTTTTCGGTAACTGTGTGCAGCAGCAGTAGCTTTGAGCCGAATTGTTTCACCAGTTTCTGTGGCTTGGCAAATTTTGCAGGGCAAGCTACAAGTCCAACTCGACATATCTTCTTTCATTATGATGCTTTGACCTGTGCCAGGGGGACCAGTTGGAGGAGCCCGAGGATGCAACGCCCGGCGGTGGTGCTATGCCATCGCTGGTGGTGGTGAGTGCACCCGCTGCGGCGACCACAGCTGAATCGTCACTGGTGGAGCGATTCCAAGCGCTTGAGGGAAAAGTGCCTCGTTGGAGACAACGCAGGACGGGACGCAGGTGGATGTTGAACATGCAGAGACAAGGGACGCCGGGAGTTTATGAGAGGCCGGAAGATTTTGGGAGTGTCAGTATGTGGCAGTTGGATTGTTCAGAGGCCCCAACATGCTGCAAAGGTCACCGTATTTGTGACAAGCACAGGCTAGGTAGCAGACGAGGAAGAACCCTAGAGGGAAGTCCTTTGTGCTGTGAGAGCGCGTGGACGATGTGGACGAATCTTGCCAGCTCGTGATCCAAGCGGCCAAGGTGGTTTCATTGAGCCAGTCTGTCGAGGTTGCATGGCACAGCTGGCGCAGAGACCGTGTTGGATGGATGGGAAAGAGTTCATGACAAACTTGTAAAGTTGAACCGATTGATGTAGATATTGCACAGGGCTTACAGTAAGCTTACTGAGGCATCAATTTTTGTTCTGATTGCTTTTTTGTTTTGGCTACAGTAATCACTGAACGGCTTTCCTGCAGCGTGAACGGGAAGCGCATTGTTTCGTGCCATCTCCGAGGCGCCAACCGAGAGCACACCAAGCAGTGGTGAGATCAGCATACAGGTGATCGCTCCACAATAAAAACATTTGGAGCCGGCTTTCACTAGATAATTATAACGCAGTTCCGCTTCACCATACCGGCCTGGTTGGAATCGGTCCCAAGATGCCCTGCGAATATATGTGAATCCATTTTTGTATTTGGACCGTTTTCAGCCAAGGCCTTGGCTGAAAGCCTGGACTTCCACGAGGAGCATCCAATCAGCTTCGACCCGACCATCAGCCCCACCGACCCATCGGCGGCTCCGCATGACGGAGCCACAGCCGTGGAGCATGCGGATGCAGCGACCTCACCCATGGCCGGGTCCAAGGAGGCTGGGATACACCTCGATGTCATGCAGTGAAGCAAAAAAGATTAATTAAGAATGAACAGTGAGTTCAGTTCTCGTTTAACAAGTGTGATCATGTGGTCACAGCTCGGATCCACATGTATCTCCACGCTGCTTGCTTGGCAGTGGTTGCGCGGTGGTTGGGCTGACTTGGACCAGAGGAGATGCGTTTTCAGCGCTTAAGTTGGGTGCTTCATTGGCTTGATTTGTGATGTGGACCCAAAACTTGTCAAACTACCTTCCAAAGGGTTGTACGTAGCGTCCTTCAGAGACGTCGAGCAGCTGTTTGGTGGCCACCAACCTGCATATGGGGGTTTTAGGGAATCCACACATGTTAAGGAATCGAACCAACATGTTAAACGCCCTGCTTGATTGATACGACAATCCTTCCACATGTACATTTGCAGTACTTGTTGCTTGTTGAGATCAACAAGTTGATCTCTCGTGCTTGCTAAACCAACTGCTTGGCCAAACGGATCCAGGTGCCTGCCTCCAGACCTACCTCCCGCTCAGAAGGCTTGAAGAGCCAAGGCTTGAGCATTCCGGATCCACCAGAGTGTGATGATAGAAATTCAAACCTTCCGGGACCAGCCCCACGCACCGATCCTTTTTTTTTAGATTACCAGCTGCCCAAATATATCCAAATCTGGATTTTGTGTAGCAAACAAATGGGGTTGGATCGGTTCTAGGGAGATGCACTGGTGGCATCAGAATTGTTGAGTTACTGCTCTTAACCTTTGCATGAATGGTCAGCAACGAAATGTCCGATGCCATAGTGGAACACTGCCCCTTTGGAGGGAATCACCTGTTTGAATCCTTTGGTCAATCCATGTGCACCTCCCCACACCGAACCGCGGAGAATGTGGGAGGAGGATGACGAGAGTCAAAGATGCATCGGTCTTGGGCCAACCAATTTCTTCATTTCGGCCGACCCCAGTGGTCCCTGTGCATTCTTGGACAGCCGGTAAATCCTCCATGTATATGACCGAGCACATGTTTCTTTTTTCCTCTATGGGTTCTCCACCCCTTTTATTGCACCAAGGACTCTAGCTTCCTCCCTGGATGCACTCACGTGCCGCGTCAGCGCCTTGGAGGTGGGAACATGACGCGTCGCCGCTCCGTTTTCGTGGAAGCTCTTAAACAAGAGAATGATAAGATGGATGTTGAAGGCAAAACTGAAGCAAGTCTCACTTGCATCATTCATGGTTGGAGCAGCAGTAGAAGGTGGCAATTTGGAAATCACAGTCGCCCAGAGGATTGTGCAGGAGAGGCTCGGGCATTTTTACACTCACTGACATACTCATACTCAAGGCTGGCATATGTTGCTTTGCCCAGTGAATTGTGCAGGTCATGATGGGTGCTGAAAGGAGGTTGATGCCGGCTACGAATGTGCAAACATCAGTGCCATCAGATGAGGTGCCTTCAGCGCCCTCCATGCCTTCGGCAGATGCACAGGTCGCAGCACCATCAGACCAAGTGCCTTCAGCACCTGCCATGCCTTCGGCAGATGTACAGGTTCCAGCGTCAGCAGACCAGGTGCCTTCAGCACCTGCCATGCCTTCGGCAGATGTACAGGTTCCAGCGCCAGCAGACCAGGTGCCTTCAGCACCTGCCATGCCTTCGTCAGATGCACAGGTCCCAGCGCCAGCAGACCAGGTGCCTTCAGAACCCTCCATGCCTTCGTCAGATGCACAGGTTCCAGTGCCAGCAGACCAGGCGCCTTCTGCACCCTCCATGCCATCGGCAGATGCGCAGGTCCTAGCGCCGGGGGTTGACCAAGCACCTGTTGAGCCTGACAACCCAAGAGTCTTGGCAGACTTGACAGCAAAACACCAGCCATCATTAATAATTGGTAGGTTGTGACGACTATATTATACTATATAAATCAGAGCGTTGAAAGGCGCAGTCCAGGTCAATGGTCAGAGAGTTCCAACAGTGAAACTGCTGCAAGTCCTTCGGATTACGGCCTGCTTAGTTGAGAATCACTTCATCGGCCTCTCAGAACTGGCTGGGGCAGGTGCGGTGCAAGATATCCCGCATGATGAACACCAAACCTCACCGAAAGATTCTTTTCAAGTGAGAAATTAGGGAGTTGGGCTAGATGAAACAGTCCAAGTTCTTCAGCTAGCGGGCGCCCTTTGTAATGTACAACTCTTTGTGGCAAGCAGTAAGCACCAACATGTGAACACGGGATGCGCTCAGGAGACGAGCTTCGGCCATCGAAGACCCCACCGGAGCGGCCAGTGGTGCCACGCCTGGTGGGGCTCAGGGAGGTTCAAGAGTGTGTGGAGGACGACGGGGGGGGCCGGAACGACAGAAGGGTGCTTTACGACAGCTTAGTAAACAAGACACATTTTCCGACTGGGATGCGGTAAACCAGTAAGGACATGGGCTTCGTGCTCGAGTGCCCACTCTCCTTCCATTGCTACAAACTAGTGGGCACTATACAATGCAGCAATATGCAGCATGCATAGCGGCATTTCATGTAATGTATGATTGCAACATCAGCGACAGCACCCGGAGGAAAGCCATGATTTGGAAGAGAAGCTGCTTGGTTGAATGTACCCTTGCCGTCACGTGTCTATTGGGGGAAGTCAACATCGCCAATGAGATCCTAAGGCGTCTAAGGATCAGAAGGCTCGAGCACCGCGCGAAGTTGCATGATTGCCATTTTGTAGCCACTGAGGCTATCGTTCTTAGAGTTTCACAGCCGGAGCCCAGAGCAAAGCAGCATCTTGAATGAAATTGTGCAGGACAGCTGATGCTGAGAGTACTGGGCTGTTTGGAATAGCTGCAACACCATCAAGCTATATCAAGGGGATACTTTTTCCTAAGATGTGGGGTTTTCTCACTGGCTTTGGGGTTCGTTCAGGTTGAAAGGGAAGTGAGCCAAGCTAGAGGCCAAGTGGAACATGTTCCAAGCACTTGCTAGTTTATCATCGCTTGGTTGAATGATGTTGCATGTACCTGAAGCCGGACTCGGAGCACTTCCAATCTAGAGCCAGGACGTCCGCCTTTGCCTGAAGCGTTGCGAGCTGATTTTGCAGCTCCCAGAGATCAAAGCCTTTATCAAGAAGTTTCAGTCGTCCCTGCAGGCAACTGGGCATGGAGGTCGCAGTGACTAGATGTGTTGTAGACTTGCAGTGGCTTTTCACATGGATTCTTAGGGAGGGTGCTGGTTTCATCCTGATGTTGGGCTCAAAACCTGTGTTGGTGTTTGCCTCAAGTTTTGGTATGTCACTAAATCCCATAGCCATCCATATCCATCCATAGCCCTTCCGGTCAGCCATTCTTTGACACCTCATATATCCTCATATGTTTCGTATTATATATATATATTTATATGTTTATGAACCTTTGATTTCTACCCACCATAGTCATCCACAGTGACCAAACATGCCACGTCCAAGGTCAATGCCGTGTTGCACGACAGTTGGCTGGGCCCTACGAAGAGCCGCCTCTTCGAGGACGAGGAGGTCAGACGAACGACGAGCGGAAACGAGTGGAGGGTATCCATGACAGCGGAGCTGTTGGACAACACATGGAGATTTCATCAGTGAGATGTGGTGGCATTTCTATGATATTATATATTGTTTTAATATATATATATATACACACTTAACACACACATATATATATATATATAACTATTTACATATATGTATACTATAATTATACATGTTGATTGGCACGGGTCATGACTTGGAGTTTTTGGTGATTTGCTGTGAACTGTAATTTCTTTGCCTGTTCGCTTCTGACGGGCATGTTTGATCATTTTTGCCTGCCAGGCGCCCAAGATTGAGCTTCCTGGATGTTTACTATATTCGTTCTTCTTCCCGGCCAGGGGGTGTGCAGGACTTGCAAGGACACATGTTTGGACGTGACACCAAAACATATACCAAACCAAAGATTGAAGGTTGTGGAGCTGAAGTTGCCAAAGGCCAAGAGTATCAACATGCTCAAACATTCGACAGGGATGAGATGTACCTGTGTCGGTTCCCTGCCGTGTTCTGAGGGTTGTCAAATAACTACTGTGGTGATTTATATAATTGTTTGTCATATTTTGGCCCTTTGGCCTTGTCATGTTTTGCCATTTGTTGGGAGGCAGTCATTTTGGGCCTTGTTCTCTTCAGTATTCGTATTAATTGATGTTTATGCCGTGCTGTTTGAGGTGACATGCGTTCTTGATCACAGCTAAGCGACATTTGATGTTGAAATCAATTGTGGCCTGTTGCGGATTGTTTTTGCCTATGCCGTTCAGCTGTTGGGTCCAAAGCCATCAAGGTTTGGCCTTTTGTACGGCACAGTCCAATTTTGTGAAACAAGTCAGGTGGTCATGAAAGCTCCTGCACAAGTCCAATGAGCACTCTAGATTCACACATCACTCCAGCTTGAGAACTTTGTCAGCTAGTTATAGGTCAGCTGGTTGGTTGGTTTGGAGTTGGAGGAACTTCAGGGCACAAGCCACTCCCATAAAAGTAAGTGGCGTCCAAAACGTGAGGCCAGGAGGGGATCCCCCGAAGCTTCTTCATGCCACCTGCAACCTGAAGCGCCACGGTTGACCTCTGAAGACGGAAAGCTGTCCACTTATCCTGGCACCACTGTAGCGCTGGTCATATGAGATCGCTCTATCGATCTTTATCCTATCCGATCCTAACCTAATCTGACCTAATCTATGTATCTATATATGTATCTATGTATCTGACCTAATCGTACCAATGGGATTAGCTAGTCAGTCTTCCGTATTTCCACCAGTGCTGCCAAGGCCATGCAAATCCACGGGTGATCTCACTTCTGTGGCGGCGGACCCCTTCCACGCGCGCCCAGCTGTGAAGCGTGGCCTGGTTTCTTTTGGGGTTGAAGGCGTTGGAGGTAATATTATAGCAATGGCCTCCACCCTAGTAGCGATGGCCTCGACCCTATAACCCACCTCCCCACACCCTTTGCACAAGTTGCAAAAAACACCTCCAAAGGGTGGCGGAATCAAGACGGACGAACCCAAGAAGGTGGCGCCGCGGATGAAGTTGGCGTGGGCGGCTGTAGTCACACTGCCTCGCACGGGTACCGAGGTGGAGAATTCAACAAGCGCCCCTTCCGCACGGTCAATGATTGGGCTCGGCCCCACACGCCCCTCACGTTAGACCCTCGGGGCAAAGCTCCCCCCAGCCTGCCAGAGATTCCGCGGTGAGGCGGCCGGCATCCATGGCACCAGAATGCGCTCGATGAACAAGAATGACCTGCAACGGCAAACCAGCGAAGAGCACAGACAGATACGGGTGCCGTTCGCGCCGAACACCCGCCGATGTCTCGTTCGTGCCCAGAGTCAACGACTCAATGACTTGTAAGGCAATGTTGGCGTAGTAGCTGTTTCACCTATTTAGTCTGGGATGGCTACATTCATGAGATGCTGATGGCCACCGTGTGTATTGCGTAGCTTAGGTAGCTTGGAGGATCACCAGGTCACAGGAATTGATTTTATAACGTTTTTGCTTGGAAGTTAAAGTTTCATGATATGATTATTATGGATGTCCCCCCCTTTTCATACATTTCCCTCAAAATAGTATGCTTTTTAGGGTGGTTTCCCCTCCCTTGCTTTCATACATTATAAGATACATCAGCTTCCATAATTATTCACAATTTTCCAAGAGTTGTTCGACCCCGTGGCTTCGTACAATTTGCACTAGGGCTGCTGGAGTTTCCTGGGATGGACCGTGGCATTGCAGACCCCCCAAGCATACAAAACAACCAGGGCACCAGGCGCGTTCTCCATCGTTCTCCCCAGAAGTGTGGCCAATAACATGATCATATGATGTCCCCCTTACCCCTTCATACATTTCCCTTGAACATGGTGCCACTGTTTCCTTCAAAAGAAAAGGAAAAGATCACACCTTTGGATGTCCTGTTTGTTCAGTTTTCTTTGGTTTGTGTTTGGTGACTACAGTACCTTTGCTGATGATGTTCCATCTTTGGAGATGCATTGGTCTGTTTTATCCATCTCAAAAGTCCGGACCATGAAGGGAAAGACTTGGAAAGATCATGTTATCCTGGGATTATATGCGGTAAAGGGGGGGGGCAGAGAGAGTGGTTGGAGCCAAACACAACAGAAGCCCAAAAAGGCAAAATCACAAATCCTCCCCAGGATCCCGCAATTGTTCATCGTGATTCCGCTATTGCAGCATTGTACCCATGGTGTGCATACATAGATTCTGGACCATACATTTTGTTAGATTCTTATTGACCCTGACCCCCGCCTGTTCATACAATGGCCGCAAATTGTGCATAGGTGCGTGCATCCCCCCATGTGCATACTTTCAGGATTTGATCCCCCTGCCTTTCATACAGATTGCAACGCCAGTGTTTCCAGAAGAACGCGGAGGGAACAAGAAACATGTATGTGTCATTTTGATACATATCTGTTTTCTTTATGTTCAACCCCCCTGTCTGAAAATGCATTTTCAACACCTGCCCCCCCCCCATTGCATCATTAAGCAAAATATGAACTGCCCCCCCTCCCTTTGTAAAGTTCGACCCGGTGATCTTGGAGGCATTTCCGACTTGCATCCCAAAGTGTTTGGAAACACCAGCGGAGAATATAGAATGTCCTGATTCCGATGTGATGATTCCGTGTGATCCTTTATTGTGCAAGGTGCAGTGCACCAATCGATCTAGGGAACCTCAAACTTTGTTGGAAGCAGTCATACCCTGCTTGAAGGGAGCAAGTGTTTGCCCGTTCCATGGTGCTGAGATTTATGAGACCCTCATACCCCGTAGAAAGGATCAATAGAGCGCTATTTTTGGGTTTCTCCTCTGGACATGAGAGGCTTCGGAGCGCCAATCCCAGGACGGTCGCGATTTCGCGAGGTAGGTAGATGGGCCTGGATCCACCAAGTGGACTCAGAGGGAGCCGCGACTGTCCGATCCAAAGATCGAGTGGCGCTGCGTCTATCCAGTCCAACCATTTCATCGCAACAACTGGAGACTGACCATCCCAATGTCCCAGTGGAGTGTGTTCAATTGATGATCATGTTTCTGTCCCAAAACACGGTTTGGGTTTGGGGGAGGGCTCGGGGTTCATTATTACATTATTTGGCCTCTCAGTCTTTCCACCCAAGTCCCTGAAGAGGTAAAAGTGAAACTCCCTTTCAACATGTATACTTGCTTGTGTCATGTCTATCCACATTTATCTCTCCATCCATCTACCATCATCTACCTATCTATTTGTTTGTTTGTTTGTTGGTCTATCTAATTTATCTATGTCCACATATAAACACATTAAAAACACCTTTTGCTTCACTGGAACCCACTCTTTGGGAATGTTTGGTGCCTGAATTGACCAACTAAGGCCCTTCACGAGCCGGCTGCTTTGGAGGCGTGCTGTCTCAGACATGCGGTGACATCAGGATCTCACGAACGGGAAAGATCAGAGTGGCTCAAGCGAATGGAGAGGTCGAAGAATCATGGTGTCAAACACCTTGGACATGTTTAGAAGGATCAAGCAATATAGTGATTCAGAAACTTTCTAAGGTCTAGCAGTGCTCCTCTCACAGGGCTCCTCTCCTTGTGAGAAGAGGTTGCCCTCACTTTAGGATATGCAATGGGTCTCCGCTCTGTCAAACAATATCAAACCTTTCTGGGTCAAGAAACAGTTTTGATGATCAAACCATCAGGGGTATTTTTTGGGAGAGTCGGGAGAGTATATCATATCACATTTCAGTTGGGCTGGGTTGGCTCCCGAGACTTCCAGGCAGAGCGTGAAGTTCTTCTGCAGATAGCAGCCCTTCCGCATCCGCCGGTGCGATTGAGGGTTCGACAGCAGCCGGACTTGGCACATGGAGGCCCGGGCGTGCAGGATTTGCTGAGATACAGACTGGTGCAGGGGAAAAAAACAATGTTCAAGAGAGGACAATGTGTTTTGCTTTGTGTTTTGTTGTGATTGCTTGCAAACAGCATCGGTAGTACACCAGCAATGTTTGGGGCCAGGCATGATTCTAAGTCGTGCACATATGTATGTATGTATGTAACGTAACGTAACGTAACGTAACGTAACGTATGTATGTATATATTAATGTAATGTAATGTAATGAAATGTAATGTAATGTAATGTATGTATGTGTGTATGTATGTATGTATGTATGTATGTAGGTATGTAGGTATGTAGGTATGTAGGTATGTAGTGTAGTGTATGTAGTGTATGTAATGTATGTGTATGTAATGTATGTGTATGTAATGTATGTAATGTAATG